ATAATAACACAAACAAACTGACTGGCATTACCCACACTCATGATCGGTATTGTCCATATATGGTGACAATACCGGTCAGAGATACTTTTTTATTTTTTGTCTCTGTCAAAGACAAACATTTTTGATTTTTTAAATTGAATGTGTCTTGCAATAAGTTAAAACCCCAAATGACCGGTTGACGCCTTAAATTTGATTTACAGAGTTTTACTTTTTTTATATTAAATTTTCTTCTTAAGTGACCGCGATTTGCACACTTTACACTAAGAATAAGATGTCAAAAAAGTTCTTATGTAGGGTAGAAGGAAAATCTTTAAACATTAAAATAATTAAAATTGACCGACAGATCGGTCAGTTTACTGAGAAAACTTGAAACTAATTTATTTAAAATTTTGGATTGTTGGAAAAAAATAATAGAAAATATTCAATGATCAATATAATTATATATATTTATTCAGTAAAAAAAAACAACAAATATATGTATTTACTATTAATTAAATATACTTATAACAAAAGAAATACACATTTCCATTAAAAAATAATTTGAGAAAATATTTGTAAATAATCATATAAAAATTAAAATGTTCTGCTCGTGTATAAGTTATTAACCACATATTATAGGAGTATTTTGTGTAATAAATATACACTATGTGTCACCCAAATGGAATAAATTAGCTAATAAATAAATGGGGGAGTATTCGAAAAATCGGTCGAACACGTAGTATTTATAGTTGAGCATTTTTTTCAATAAAAACTTTTTATACGGGGTATATCAGATAACGGTGGCCCATACCAATACTATGTCCTATACCTATCTTTTACTGTTTCGGAAATATTAAGTAAAATGAAAAAATTCACATTTAGAAAAGAAAATTATTATTTGTCGAAAGTCGCTCGCTACCACTGTCTTAATACTTCTTGACCATTTAGGTCTTGGTAATGATAAAGTAAGCAAAAACTATTTAAGCATTCCTTTTTATTGATATGTTAAAAAAACAAAAAATTATTTAAATCGTCAAAGTTTTATTGTTCCATGAAGAGGAAGTAGTTGTCAGTGCTATAGCCGTTTGAATTTCATTAACCGCAAGACAGAAAAATGGTTCATTTAACAGAAATGCACAAAATTTCAATTATACAGATGATTGGCCATGGAGATAAGACACGGACGCAAATTGAAGTAGCTCTTTTATTTCACGAAGCATTTCCTGATTTGCCGTACATATCTCTAGGGACAATTAGTCAAATAGAGAAGCAATTCCACGAGCTGGGCCATGTTAAGAAGGTAAAAAAAAAACAAGCTGCCGATGCAATAAGTGAGAGGATACCAAATTGGCCATTATGCTTGAGTTTGAGGAACACCTACATACATCTGTACCCAGTACTACATATTAGCTATTCATCGGTTATTCGAATATTACAAGGAAACAAAATGCATCCCTATAAAATTATATATACTCCGGAGCTCATGGAAGATGATTTTGACAGGAGAACGTATTTTGTAAACAAATGATATCAATGTTAGACAGCAATGTGATTCAATTAGAACATGTTTTGTTTTCTGATAAGTGCACCTTTACTCTTCACGGTCATGCTAATCGGCAAAATTGCCGCTATTGGTCCAGGGAAAATTCTCTCTGGATGAGAGAAGGCAATACCCTGAGAAAGTTAACGGGTGGGCAGGAATTATTGAAGATCAGATCATTGGTCCCTTTTTCATAGATGGCAATTTGAATGGCGACAATTATTTAGCATCGCTCCAAAAAAAGTAGTGCCAACGTTAGCCAACTTGTATCCTGATCCAGGAAACACACAAGTTCCAGCGAATATGATATGGATTCAACAAAATAGAGCATCACCCGACTACCAAATCCATGTCCGGCAGTACCTCAACCAAATATTTCCAAATCGGTGGACAGGGAGGCGAGGATCGATGGAATGGCCACACGATACCCCGATTTGACGCCATTAGAGTTTTTCTTATGAGGATATGTGAAAAGTATTATATAAAAAAACTAAACCCACTGACCTAGCTGACTTAACGAAGACGAATAACGCTTGCGATTAGATCGATCACATCTGAGATGTTGTGTAACCTTAGAAGAAATTTCTATTCACAGTTGGGGTGTTGTCAAGACGTTCGCGGGGAGCATTTTAAACATCGCCTACATTGACATTATTATTTAGATTTGTATTATTTAGAAGTTTTTGAATATTGTGTAGCGACTTAACCCTTAGTTGCCGGATTATAAAAATAATAAAAAATTTTTTAATTTTTTGATGGAATATGTTCAAAAATACATTCAAAAAGAAGTATAATTTTTTTCAAAATTTTTGAAAACCTTTTACGCAAAAAAACAGATGCGGTACTTTAAAGTACCGTCAGGCTGTGTAGAGTTATTTAGTGTGGTAGGAAGTTATTAGGTGAATAATGATAAATACGGAGATTTTTATCAATTTATTTCTAGAAAATACATCAATTATCAACATCATGATATATATTGAAACAGTTCTTCTTCTCATTCGAACACAGATAAACTTTACAGGTAGAACATGTTGAATGAGGTCGCGATTGTACACCTTGGCTGCTGCATACCTCACATCTACCTCTTTGAGCACCATATTTTACCCAGTGGGTGCCTCTATTTGAAAGGCGTACATCGGATGGGACTGAATAATATGTTCCTCTTCTTCTTCTTTCAGAGTACACATCACTATTCGGTCTTCGTCGTTTTGATGGAGTTTTCTGAAGTTTGTGAGCCATTAGACCCATAGCAACTCCTCTTCGAAAATCTAAAAGAGATTGGTTTTCTCGTATGTCGCAGAATATTATATAAGCATTAACGAATGCTATATCTGTTAATCCCCAAAATAGCCTATGCCACCACTTCTTACTACGTCTGTCAAGACCATAAACAGTTCTCAAACGATCAGCATGGTCAACACCCCCCATGAATTTATTGTAATCTTTTACAATCATAGGAGCAACAATATCAGCCTTAGTACCATCTTTTTGAGTCCTTTGAACAGTTATTTCCTCACAACCGTGGTAATTACTAGCAAAGTAAACAATTTTATTGTCCTTCCATTTCCACACTCCAATATCCATCGACGAAATCCTGTAATCAAAATCTCCGCGCTTCATGGATTTATCAGCTGTCAAGTTCTTAGGAAGAAACTTTTTATTCGGTCTAATTGTTCCACATGCTAAAGTTAGTTCACTTTTTAACTTCTCTAACAAGGGTATGGAGGTAAAATAGTTATCGAAATAAATCATTCTTTGCTTTCCCCATTCTTCTTCAGTAAGATGCAGAACTCCACGGGCTCCTAGTCCAAAGTCCTTATACTTTTCTTCAACTATGCTGTGTTTTCCCTGGTAAATTTCAAATTTCATAATATATCCATATTGATCGGAAAGACACCATAATTTGTAGCCTCTCTTGATAGGTTTGAGAGGATTGTACTGCTTTAGAGAGCTCCGTCCCTTGAAAAGTATCATCGATTCGTCAACCGAAAGCTCACGAGTTCCTCTATAATTTCTTGAAAAATTTTCGTTCAGTTTGTCTATCATTGGCCTTATTTTGTATAGTTTATCTTGAGTTTGTGTGTTAATATTAGTATTGTCGTTTATATGAAGGTTGTTCAATATAGCATCAAACCTGTCTCTGCTCATTGCAGCAGGAACGATTGCAGTTTTTAGGTCTTCGCTGTTAGACCAATAATGCCTCCAATTTGGTAACCTGTGATACCCCATGAACATGTTTATTCCTAAAAATGTTATCAATTCATCTTTTTTTATATTCAGAACCTTATTCCTTTGGACAGCATATAAGTTGCTCTGATAAACTATAGGTATCATCAATTATGGAACCTAAAAGGCAAATAAAGATGTCAGTTCCAGTTTCGCAACCAGCAAAATTATCCTCTACTGTGCGTGTTGGGTACATATATTCTGAAGATGCAGTAGTTATTTCTCGTTTACGCCACTTTCTATCTAAAAATTGCCTCATTCTGCTGACTAAAGTCAATTTCATGCAATGAATTTACCTCGACATCTTCTGTTATACCACTTTCTATGGACTGAGTCACATCTACTTCGAATGTACTTGAAGGTTCTGGTACAGCATTGTTAGAATTAATTATTACTTCATCATCATTATCTGATTCTTCATCAGTTTGGAAATTTAGGTCATCCGGTATATCCTCAAACAAGTAATTGTCAACAATATTTAATAATTCCGCATCACTTAGAGGTTTTTTGCTAGTCCAGTCTATTTTTTTTCCATCTAAAAAAAGAAACGGGTTAGAATATAATAAGAAACGATGTAGCGAAACAAATTTATGTCCAGTAATAAATTACTTCCAAATGCCTGACGGTACTTTTAAGTCCGCAGCGAAAAGTATCAGTTTTCTCAAACAACAGTAATTATTTATAAAAAGTAAATACTTACGTTTGCACTCAAATGTTTCGTCTACGATATTATAATCAGTTATACCGAAATACGTTGATAATTTTCAAGTTATTGACACATGTGTTACAGATGACAAATCACAACACAATAGCTAGGTTATGCACTAATACCGTTATTGTTTTAGCGCTAAAACAGTGTTGCCGGTTGATTGAAATAAACTTATATTATTCTATATAAGGTACTTTAAAGTACCTATAGGAAAAAATCAAGGTAGATATAAAGATGTGTTTTAGACATATTTTTTAATAAGTGGTACTTTAAAGTACCGTCCGTCAACTAAGGGTTAAGACAAATAGATAATTTTCTTTTCTAAATGTGAATTTTTGCATTTTATTTAATATTTTCGAAACAGTCAAATATAGGTATAGGACATTTTATTTAAAAAATATCTAAAATAATCTGAGGAATCTAAAAATTAACTAATATATAGGATGTTCTATTTAAAATAAGCAAGTTGGAATTATTGGTCACCGTTATCTGATACACTCCGTATAAAAAGTTTTTATGGAAAAACTACGCAACTATGAATACTAATCGACGTGTTCGACCGTTTTTTTGAATACTCCCTCATTTTTTTATAAGCTAATTTATTCCATTTGGCTGACACACAGTGTATACTACTGTGGAGTAACTAATCAATATTTGGCAACAAAATTTGTTAAATATATCATCAACATTATTACAAATTAATGATTTATTATAAAGTAGTTTAGGTTTAAAATTTCACTGTGCATTCAAAAGTGAATAACAAAATATTATAACAGAAAGAAATTAATGTATGTTTAAAATATCAATTGGAATAGATACAGTTCTTTACAATGGCGCAGTTTTTTGCACCTCACCACACAATCACACAATTCATCACAGGGAATACAACACATTAGAAAATTAAAAGTTTATTTATCACAATTTATAAAGACTATAACCATTCTGCCATTCGGGTTCTACATTTAAAAAAACCTACAGAATAAATATTTATCACTGTTACAATTCCGTAAAACCATGTTTAAATAGGATGGTATTTTCCCGAATTGGAACATTCTGTATTCGTCCCGTTACAAAAGTATCGGTGGCTGATATGATCCAAACAAATAAATGGTTGAATCTTTGGCCCATAAAGTCTGTTCCATTAAAGGTTATATTCTTAAAATTAACTTTACTGCCTTTGAAATCGTTTTTGAGAGGGTTTTCATAGTTATTTTCACATTATTGTTTCCTTTTAGTAAAAAATATGTGTTACACAGATAAATCAGAAACTACACTTAATGGAACTACACTTGATCTTGGAAAAATATTTCTTAAATGATCAGGAAATTGAAAAACACCTCTTTGGTCATAAAAATGTTCTGTAAAATGACTTTTGGCCTTTACATGGTTTAAAAGAATTGCAAGTTTATTAAATATTAAACCAGTAAACATTCGTCATATCTTGATATAAAATATTTCTACCTAAGTTTAAATATCCGATGTATGCATCACATAATGTAGCAGTGACAAAACTTTTGGTTTTCATAATATGTAAATTAATTAATTAGGGAACCATTCCTTACCTTGTTTGTCTAATTCTTTGCAAAGTACTTATCAACTTACATTTCTGATCTCTGTTACACCATCTGCCTGATTGGCGCACCAAAATATAACGAATTGTAACAAATATGTATACCATATTCCTACATAATTATAACATATAAGATCACCAGCTCCTTTGAAATACTTGTGTTACTACCTATCCTAACAAATAATAAAAAATTGATCTAAAATAATATAAATACATTGATTTCGTATAAAACTGTGACATTTTTGGTTTACATGAAACTAGATGGGCAAAAATCTCGACATATCACTGGAATTACTATCTTACACTCTTATCCCAGAAACTTTCAGTTATAATAAGTATACTCTATCTTTTGAGCCATCATTAGAGAGGTAGGAAATTATCCATAATCAAACAGAAGTAAAAACAGCTATAAAAGCCCATCAATGTCCAATCTACTGACAAACTATCAGTAAGGGCAAATTATCAAAAGTAATTAGTGTTGCCTGTAATATAGAGATTTCTATTTTTACACTCTAAAGACATATATTTTGGAATTAAACGTACATTTTTACTATTTTTTACACTGTTTCTAAAAATCTAAATCAAAGATTCCAAAATTAAATGAATGCTATTAGTATTACAATGGAGAACAGCAAACACGTCTACTATATTATCTACAAGTCAAACTTTTTATATAGATCAAAAAAATCTAGCAAGCTTAAAATAACTTTTTTACAAATGAGTTTTGATTTCATCAACATTCTTACTAAATCTTTGGAGGTTAGCAACAGCTAGACAATCGTTGATTGATAGATGTAGCCGACAAACTAGTATTCCTTACAGTATTTCCACTAAATTACCAGTTCGTGTATACTTCTGAATAATATAGTGCTTATAAACACAATAAGTCTCAAAAAACAGAGTATACTCACAAGATGCAATACAACAACTTAAAACAGCTAAATACTGCCCTTAATGCTAATGATGTGTTGTCGAAAAGGTACGAGTTGAAGAAAACATTTAGGAATACAAAATTGTAATATTAAAAATGCAGTTATAAATTTTATTTCCATCGCTATTGGTACGGAATACTGTTCCAGTACATACAGAAATAAACAAGACTTAATTGGTCAGTAAAACATAGTTACTTTATTGCCTTAAAATATTTAAACTTTCCAAACAAGCTTTTACGTATATTATAGATATAGAACATTTGTAGTTTAATTCAGTAACTTGTCTTTATCGCTACATCAGCCCCTCGAGTTATATATCGTTTTGAGATGATAAGTAGGTTATGTGAGGTTAATTCTGCAATAATTTCAAAATAGGCAATAAAGTATCTATTTGACAAGTGCTTAGTAACCTCAAAGTCCCATCCTAATACCTAAATTCTCTAGAAACAGAATATCTTACCGATTTTGCATCAATTTAATGCGAAGCATAAAGTATGCTATCACCCTAAGAAAGATGAACAGTCCACCTAGTACCCCGACGTCGATGAAATAGCTGACCATGTCGTCCTTCATGGACATCTGCTCCAAGAACTTCTTGGGGTACTTGAAGTGGCAGTACTCGATGTTGCATGTTAGCTTTGGTCTATCCAAGCCGTAGATAGCGATCATGCACGCTTCGAAGCCGTATTTCAGGTAACTCAGATATGGCAGCCATCTCAGGTAGAAGGGAATGTCGTTCAGGTTGGTGAAGAAGCCTGAGAAGAGCACCATGGGAATGGTGGAAATTGGTCCGAGGAATACACCTCCCTGAAAAAACGTGATAGCTGATTATAAAATATTTGCTAGCCTTAGAACATAAAACCTCAGGAAGTGATTTACACTATAACACCAATATCATAATATGCTGACCTTACTCAACCATTTATCAACCATTCTCTTTTAGTTTAGCGATAGTGTTATCACAGCTATTTAGTAAGATTCACAAGGAATCTACGTTCCTGTAATTGGCTGTATACCATATATTAAAAAATTTATTAAAAATCCTTTGTAAAAGATATAAATATATACCTTTTATAAAGGATTTTTAATAAATTATTTACTAAGATGTTGCAGATGCAAGCTTTGATGTTGGGTTTATGATTAGTTTAAAATAGTTTTGGATATTGTAGATTTCAAAGGGATTGTTTGGCATTGTAGACCTTTTCATACTAAGACTGTTTTGTTTGTTCATAATTCGTTATTTCCGACAGAGCCCTGCACACCTTTTTCTTCTTTAAGTGTTGTCTCCCAATATAGAATATAGAACTGCATTTAAACCAGTCCCTTAAATTCTTCAATCATGACACTCTCTTTCTTCCTATACTCCCTCCTTCCTCTTATCTTTCCCTTTATTATCAGCCTTAGCAGTTCATATCGCTGTCTCCTCATTACCTGTCCCAGATACTGTAACTTTCTTATCGTGTTTATTATTTCGCATTCTTTGCCCATTTCTCTCAATACTTCCGTGTTAGTTTTCTTCTGTGTCCATGCTATTCTAAGCATCCTCCTGTAACACCACATTTTAAAGGACTATAACTTATTTATGTGTTCTTGCGTCAATGTCCAGCTTTCAAGTCCATATTGCAGTATCGAAAACACGTAGCATCTCAGTGCTCTTACTCTCAGTTCTAATCTAAGATCTTTGTTGCAGAGAATTGTTTTCATTTTTACAAACGCATTCGATTGTTTGATCATTATTGTCTGAAATCCAGGTTCCTAGGTATTTGTGTTTATCAACCCTTTCTATCGGTACATTTCCCAAATGTATGTTTGTTTGTATATTTGTTTTCTTTGTTATTATCATGTATTTGGTCTTTTTTATATTCATTTTTTTTCCATATTTTTCACAGAAACTTTTGTTTGTTTTGTTTAGCAGTAATTGGAGTTGTTCAGCAGAGCTTGCCATAATCACGGTGTCATCTTCATCTCTTATGTTGTTAATAGATCTTCCGTTAATTATTATTCCTTCACTTTGAGATAGTAATGCTTCTTCAAAAATGGCGTCACTATATACATTAAATAGTAATGGGGACATAATACATCCCTGCCTAACTCCTCTCCTGATTTCAATTTCTGGACTGGGTTCGTTATCTATTACGATTTGTGCTCTTTGATTCCAGTAGAGGTTTGTTATTATTAATGCTAATGCAATGCTAATTATGATGAAGTTTCGTCGGGCAGATTTTAAAATGATCCATTTTAGCTGTATTGGATAAGTAAATCGTGTCAATAGCGGGCGTAAGTTTGAATAGATATTAATATTAAGGGGCCCTCTATATTACTGAAGGTTAGGTATAACTACAGCAAATTGCTCTCTATCTTGAGCTGTTCTTAGTATCGAATGTGAGGCCATGTCTGTCCAGTCTCCTAAATTTTTCAGCCAGGAGCATTTTCTTTTTCCTTCCACTTTCCCCTCCATTATCAGTCGTAGGAAGTTGTATCTTTCTCCTCTGTAAATATGTCCTAGATGTTTTTCGTTTTTCTGGTTTTTACAATATTTAGGAGTTCCCTCTCAGTCCCCATTTTTCTCAGCACCTCGTTGTTGGTCGTGTGCTCTGTCCAAGAGATCTTCAGCATCCTTCGAAAAACCCACATCTCACAGGCTTCTACACGTCTCATAATTGTGATTCCGAGAGTCCATGTTTTCATTGCGTATAGCAATATAGAATAAATAAATGTCACTACTGTGAACAGTGACAAGTGTAGTAGTGTCTGGGGACTCAGGAGACTGAGACCTCGGAAGCCCTGAGGAAGACAGAGGATGTCGAAAGCTCGGCCCAATGGATATCGACGCGGTTCAACCCGGAAAACTAGTAAGATTAATATTAATTTTTGTAATAGTATTAATCTTAGCTCTAGGTTTCATTGTACTAGCCGCGGAAATCTTTCCGAACATTATATATACAGAGTGGCCCAAAAGTCTGGAAACGGCCAATTATCTCGTAAATTGCCAATTATGATTGTACAAAATTTGTGGTACACCTATTTTGGGATACGGAGATTCCATATTTGATATTTGCAATGTTGCCAGATTTGCCATTTCTCTGATATTATTAGTAACTTTGGTTTTTCAAATGCATCACCCTGTATATTCAGTCATTATTAGAATCTTCTATTCAATACGAATTCAACTATATGTAACACTTATGATTTTTTATAGTCTGGAAGGTTTTAAATACATAAAACAGAAGTCTGCCAACGCCTAATTGTTTCAATAAATTTTTTGATACTAATTATTTTCAACTACATTAAAACGTAACAATTGATAGATTAGACCATATTTTAACAATAGTTACGTTATTAACTGTTCAAAATGTGCTCAATTTGTGAGTTGACAGTACCCTAATCGATGGTAGAATGCGTCTACCACATTTCTCCATGATTGTCTAGAAATTATTTGAGATTAATCGATAATTCGTTGCCTTTCCTCTGCAAGACTTGGCTGGTTAAGTTTGTAAACTGAATTTTTCAAGTATCCCTAATAAAAATAATCTTTAGGATTGAAATCGGGTGAACGTGGAGGCCATTCAATTCTACCTTGTCTACCAATAATCCGTACGATAAGTACGGAAAATATCTCATCTAAATAACGCCGAACATTTATACCAACTATCTGATGTTAAATTTCCTTCGATAAAAAATGACCCAATTGACTAAGTACCTACTATACCTGATCATACATTTAATTTTTGTGGTCTGGTATGGTTTTCATGCATTCAGTGTGAATTTCATACAAGTTCAAAAATATGTAACACTTATGATTGTATGTAGTCTGGAAGGTCTTAAATACATAAAACAGTGCAAAATATGTAGATTTTAATAAATTTAAATATTTAAATGTAGAATGCTGTGATATTGACATTTGTTCACGATTTACATAATAAACGAAAACTGACAGTAGTTGTATTTCGAAAAGTTCTGAAATTTAAATTGCTTCTTTAAAATGCCGTTCTCTAAACCGTTCTCCTATTCATAAGGCGACGGTACAAAAAACTGTAAAGCGATTTGAGAAATCTGAAGAGGGTAAAGATAGATGGAAAGAGAAAAGTTTTGTTGAAGATCCACATACATCCTCAGGCAGGGTTGCACAAGTACATGATGTAGGTAGTTCTTCAGTCTTACGTATATTACGTAAAAATAAGTTTAAACCATACAAAATAAACTTATTGCAAGAATTAAGTGAAGATGACTTCGATCTTAGATTAGAATTTACTGAAGTAATGATGGATAAAATTGAAAATTATTAAAATTTCGTTAACAGAATATGTTTTCCGATAAAGCAATCTTTACACTGTGTGGAAGTGTAAATCGACACAATTTAAGGTACTGGAGTGACGCAAATTCACACTGAATGCGTGAAAACCATACTTAAAGACCACAATAATTAAATGTATCGTCAGGTATAGTAGGTACTCAGTCAATTTGGCCATTTTTTATCGAAAGAAATTTAACGTCAGATAGTTGGTGTAAATGTTCGGCGTTATTTAGAGGAGATATTTCCCGGACGATAAATTGGTAGACAAGGTAGAATTGAATGGCCTTCACGTTCACCCGATTTCAATCATAAAGATTATTTTTATTAGGATACTTGAAAAATTCAGTGTACAAAACTTAACCAGCAAGTCTTGCAGCGCTAAGGCAACGAATTATCAATGAATCTCGAATTGTTTCTAGACCATCATGGAGAAATGTGAAAGACGCATTCTACCCTCGATTAGGGTACTGTCAACTCATAAATTGAGCACATTTTGAACACTTAATAACGTAACTATTGTTAAAAAATGTTCTAATCTATCAATTGTTACGTTTTCATGTAGTTGAAAATAATTAGCATTAAAAAATTTATTGAAACAATTAGGCGTTGCCAGACTTGTGTTTTATGTATTTAAGACCTTTCATACTACATAAAATCATAAGTGTTATATATGGTTGAACTCGTATTGAATAGGAGATTCCAATAATGATTAAATATACAGGGTGATGCATTTAAAAAACCAAAGTTACTAATAATATAAGAGAAACGCAAAATCTGGCAACATTGCAAATATCAAATATGGAATCTCCGTATTCCAAAATAGGTGTACCTCAAATTTTGTACAATTATAACTAGCAATTTACGAGATAATTAGCCGTTTCCAGACTTTTGGGCCACTCTGTATATATATTATATATATATATATATATACATATATATATATATATATATATATATATATATATATATATATATATATATATATATATATATATATGTATATATATATATATGTATATATATATATATATATATATATATATATATATATATGTATATATATATATATATATATATATATATATATATATATATATATATATATATATTATGCTTAATATTATAAAGTACAGTAAATAAGTAGACATTTTTAGCTATTTTTGTTGAACTTACCTCAATATTGAAAGCAGCACCTATGAGCAATCCGAAGCTTTGAGATACAAGGGCAGTTAACACCGTAACTAACAATATCATCCCAAATCTAGTTACATCTAACGGTTGGGACGTTATAAAGTAAACACCTATTATATAGCACAATGTCATGACCACCTAAAACAAAAGCAAAAATAAAAACATGTACGGAAAATAAAATTTCTATATATGATTCTCTTACCTGAAATGGTATGTCCGCCAATGTTTTAGCCATATAGTACGCTTTGAGCGAGTACCAATAATTCAGGTGCTCCCTTACGGTAACTGACATTTCCAAAGGAACTGAAAAAGAGTTATCCTATTAGTACAAGATACCACTGCAGGATCACTACATTCATAACTAGTCCAGGCTGTGACGCCGCTCCCGTTGGGAAAATGTTTCTGATTCGGTTTCTTCGCGGATTCCGGTTCAGAAATGTGCCCTTTAAACAAATCTGAAGGGTGCCGGGCGAAATTTTTGGGCAGAAATTGTTTAAACAATTTTTTTTAAACAAATTCCAAAAATATTTTTTTTTAATCTGGAAAACGTTTTTTTAGGTTTTTTGGGTCATTTCAAACAAAAAAGGTCTCTTGTCATTTTTCTCTAAAGTTGATAGTTTTCGAGTTATAAGCGATTTAAAGTCTGAAAAACGCGAAAATACGCATTTTTGAGGCTTGAAAACACATATGTAAATTATTATTTTTGAGGTTACCAAGTGTCTAAATTGAAGTTTAAACATTCAACTTCAAGATTGTGAAGAGTAATCGGGGCTTATTATAATTTAGACCGTTGTTTTTTAATTGTTAAATATGCACGTACACTCGATTTTTCAGCCGCCGCGGCGCGGCGCGCTAGAGTGCGCTTCTATCGTACTTATGCATAGTTTACATATACACTTACGCAAAAAAACCCGAACAAATCCTTGAAGTTTATTAACATAGTTTTTTCCATAATTTATTTATGTAGGTATTAATTATTGTAATTGGGCTAATTAAATAAATCAATCATCGCAATGTAATAACCGTATATAGTTTTTTTTTCTTCCAAATTTGAACAATATAATTATTATTTATTGAGTATATATTTATTTATATCAATTGTAAATAATATTTTTAAATTATTATTTAAATAATACAATGCAGTAAATATTAATATTAGTAAACTTAATTTTAAATTGCGCGCTGTTTAAAAACAATATACTATCGCAAAAATGCAAGTTTTTACCTGTTTAACAATCGCACACTCATACTTGATTTGTTATTACTTAAACGATCATTAGGAAGACTATTGTTTAATGCCCATTAAAAGGGTATTATATTATTAATGTGTTATTAAAAAAATTGTGAATGGATTTAAAATGTCTTTTTCCGTACCTCTTCTTAAATGGAAACTTACCGAAGAAAATTTAGTTTGTATTTTTTGTAATAACATCAACAATAATAAGTTAGTGCAAAAACCTAAAGTAGATTTTTACATAACAATACAAAATGCTGCTCTTCGACGAAAAGACAGTGTGACTGAAAAATTTAGTTTAATCTAGCCAATATACCTTGTACCTCTGACGCACTTTACCAACACTTGTTAAGAGCTTTCGCTAACACATATATTTGGCGAAATGCCATATATTCCCGCTATCAAACTCTCGATTTTGCACAATATGGATATTATATGTCTGATAGTGGTGGGTTGGGAAATCGTGCAAATGCAAAAAGACTTGCAAAACTAATGCTTGCAACTACAAGAAAAATCATGTCAACTGTGTACCATTATGTGGATGTGATTTAGATTTTTGTGAAAACAAAGATACTTTTACTGAGTGATATTAGTGTGTTATTTAACAATCTTTTGTACAATTATTTTATGTAACTATTATTAGACTTTAGACGAAATTTATATTATAACTCAATTGATATAAATAAATATATACTCAATAAATAATAATTATTTGTAAGTATATGTAAACTATGCATAAGTACGATAGAGGCGCACGGTAGCGCGCGGCGCCGCGGCGGCTGAAAAATCGAGTGTACGCGCATACTTAACAATTAAAAAACAACGGTCTAAATTAAAATAAGCCCCGATTACTCTTTACAATCTTGAAGTTGAATGTTTAAACTTTGATTTAGACACTTGGTAACCTCAAAAATAATAATTTACAAATGTGTTTTCAAGCCTCAAAAATGCGTATTTTCGCGTTTTTCAGACTTTAAATCGCTTATAACTCGAAAACTATCAACTTTAGAGAAAAATGACAAGAGACCTTTTTTGTTTAAAATGACACAAAATACCTAAAAAAAAAACGTTTTCCATATTAAAAAAATTTATTTTTGGAATTTGTTTAAAAAAAATTGTTTAAACAATTTCTGAACAAAAATTTCGCCCGGCACCCTTCAGATTTGTTTAAAGGGGACATTTTTGAACCGGAATCCGCGAAGAAACTGAATCAGAAATATTTTCCCAACGGGTGCGGCCTCACAGCCTGGACTAAACGTAGTTCATCAAACTCACATTTTTACATACATTTAAAATTAGGAAAATACATTGATAATAGGTTGTCAGTTAGGTAGTCAGTTATGATAAAATTGAGACTTACATGTTAAAATTGTGGGCATCATAGCTGTGTACATCATAAACATTACGCAGAAGAAGAGGCACCCTGCGTTACTGGTAACTTTGGCAGCGTCTTGTCCTATATCATAATAAATTAGGCCTATAAGGCATCCTATCACAAAGTGGGACACCAGTCTCATTCTAGTTAGCGTTTTGTCCATTAGAATCATGTACATACTTCTTTTGAGCAATATTGTGAACTGTTGGAGACCTGTCGTCGAAAAACCTGCAAATATATCGGGTTTTTTTAAGTCATGGCTATTTTTAAAGAATGTATAGATCAAAAATGGTAGTTAAAATAAGAGTTTCAATAGGATTTTGCCATACTAAACTCTAATACAAAATTTTAACAATGGTTAAAACACCTTTTTCATTGTCAAAATCAAACACTCGACTCAAAAGCTCAGCTACAAGTAGGACGAGTATGATAATAAAATAATACAATAATTAATAAATAATAAATTCTTACCATTCTTTTCCGTTGGCGACAAATTCTCCGAAGAATCTAAAAGTGACGTTGTGCAAGTTACTGGCGTTGTGGGGGTGGCAGGCTTAACAGAACCATTTGGCACAGATATTACGTCTCCAGAGGAGTTCTTCCCATTGGCTTCTTTAGCGATATCATTGGAAACTATCTTACTACTTCTATGATCTGGAGTGGCGAATTTGGTGCAACGGCCCGCGTTTACTGCCACCACCAGTTTCTGAACGTAGTCTCCATGCTCTCCACATGCTACCTCCATAACTAACATAGAAGAATATAGGTGTAATATATATACATTTTTTAAAAGTAGGTTGATTAGTAAAGTTGAAAGAAAAGTACTATACTCAGGATCAGTGGTGTAAGGAATATTATGGTACCTACGTTTTCCAAGTTAATATGTATCCACAAGGTGAATATTTTGCACAAATTTTCTTTTTACATTTATCAATGTTTGGGTCAGTCCCTTATTGCACTCATCTTCTTCTTCTACAGCCCTGTAGCCCAAATTGAGCCTTGACCTCCTTTATTTTTGCCTCCACCCATGCTTGTATGTGGCTGTGGCTTTCTTGGCTTTCCAACCGGTCTCTTTCCCTGCGTTCTAGCATTCAGTGCTCTTTTTGGACGCCTATCCTTTGCGATTCTTATCACGTGTCCGGCCCATTGCAATCTTTGTATTCTAATGAAGTCTGACAGTGGTGCTTCCTTATAAAGTTGATAAAGCTTGTTGTTATATCGACTTCGGAAGATTCCATTTTTCCTCTAAGGTCCTAGTATTTTCCTTACTTTCCTTTCGAATGTGTCGAGTTTGCTTTTGGATGTTTCTTTCAGGATCCATGCTGCACTGCCATAGCATGCTATTGGTCGAATTAAGGTTTTATAGATTCTTATGTAGATATGTAACTTTCCAACCGTTTCAATCTCATCTTCGTGTATTATGTTTTTGTGGACTATATTTCCCCTCGTCCGTATCAATATTTTTATTTTTTCTGTGTTAATTTCCAGACCTAGCCTTTTTGTTTGCGTTTTTAACTCTGCGTATGTTTGATATGCTCCGCTTGATGTTCTACTTATAATATTAATATCATCGGCATAAGTGGCCAGTTGAACCGTTCGGTTGGTCTGTAGGTTTCCTCGTCCAGTTTGCATTTGTCTAACCGCATACTCCAGTGCCAGGTTAAACAAAGTTAAGTTTCTCCATAAGAGAAAAAGATATCAGCACTAGTTTGTCGCAGGGTGTTCCGCAGGGTTCAGTACTAGGTCCCATCCTGGGAATGTTCTGTACGACGGGGTGTTGAGGCCACAGATGCCAAGGGGATGCACTCTTGTAGCTTATGCCTATGATCTCGCACTGATTGAGAAGGCGTGTCAGAAAACGGACGTGGCTAATGCGGCGAACACAGCCCTGCATCGCATTAGTAGGTGGATCAGAGAGAACGATCTATAGCTAGCGCCTCAGAAAACTGAGGTGTTAGTTCCCAAAGGGACCCGGGAAAAATCCTCTCTTCGCTTTATAGTGGAAGGTGTGGAGGTTGCACCGGTTAAATTAATTAAGTATCTGGGAGTCTGGTATTCGGAAGGTCTAAGGTTCAGAGTACAACCTACGCTGCCCCTTTATGGTGTAGTGTATTAAACACTCCGAAATACGCTAAGCTGATTGAGACATCTCAAAGGCGAATGCTCCCCAGGTTATATAGCGCATATAGGACAGTTTCAAATGAGGCTCTATATCTCAGTCGTCGGGTACTTTCTCTTCTTGCCATATGTCTTTGATGGGCGCGTGGATGGGACTTGCTAATTTGTCGCAACCTACCTTATACAATTTTGCTGGTATTTCGTCAACTCCCGGGCTTTATTGATTTTCTGGGCCTTAATAGCTTCGAGAACTTCCTCTACAGTTGGTGCATCTACTCCATTCTCTACTTTAATTTCTTCTACATAGTTCGTACCCATGTTATCATCCATGTCTACTTGTGTACCAAGTAGAGTCTGAAAATATGAAAATAATGCTTCCAGGTTGCTGTGACTTTCTGTTGGTATTGGTCACTCAATATTTATTTGCCCACTTTCACCTTTACATAGACTTGCTTGAGATTTATACCCACTTTTCATCTTTTTTAGGTCGTAAGCCCCTCTAATTTAGTTGTTTTTGAAAATTTCTACACTCATATATATAAAGCAATTTTGTAATCCTATCAAGATGACTACCAAAATTTCTAGTTTTGACATTTCCACTGCTAGTGTAAATAATTTTAATAGCCAAAATAATTAGGAGTATGAACACCTTTTAGGTGTATCAAAACGACATCTCAACTTACCGTAATCAGCGGGATTATGATAACTAGGACAATTCAAACCCATGCTGGACAAAAATGGCACCAATCCTAGCACAGGTCCTCTATAAATACACTGTCCTTCCGCCATCATATAAAGATGATCGAACATTTCAAATAACCTAGCTGATGGTTGATGTATAGTGCATATTATTGTTCGACCCCCTCGTGCGAGTGACTTGAGTAGACAGAGGCACTGGAAACATGATGAACTGTCCAGACCACTCGTTGGTTCGTCGAAAAACATCACTGGTGGGTTATTTACTAATTCCAAACCTAAAATAAAAACAAGTATGTGTTATAAAATAAGAAATACTTTGAAGCGTTGGAAAATCTAAGAAAGAGCTGACGTTCTGCGGACCCCATTCCTAAACTTAGCCAGAGAATGATTAGTATTATTTAACTATGTCAATTGCGACGTATTCATATGTCTAGTCGACTTCGAAAAAGCTTTCGACAAAGTACAACACCGGAGAATGGCAAGAATACTGCAGAACAGAAATAGATGACGAAGACGTGAGAATCATGGCCAATGAGGCACGTTAAGAAGAAGAAGAATTAACTATAATGAGAATGGTTAAGAATATAAGTATATTTATCTAGAATCGATACTGAAAGACCTCTAAATTTGGAGTAAAGTGCTTTCTGACAATAATTCTCATAAGTCGTTAATGTACACTGGAATATAGATAAGGCTACAAATAACAAACGAATGAAAATGTACATACTTCTTTTGAGCAATATTGTGAACTGTTGTTTCAGTTATAATGTTATAATGGTTTAAGTAACGCTTGTTTTGTAATTTTCTTAAACAATCAAAACATTTGGATTTCGTGTGTTGATAAACCATTGTTTCCCAATGGAACTGTTAACAGTTGGTATGTTGACTTCAAATACATAGATGCAAAAGATGATAAAAGATTTGGACGGCTAAATTCGACAAAACAAAGTCTGTAAAATCGTTTTGACCGATCTTAAATTGAAATTTCGTCAGATAGCAGAAAAATTGAAGATACCAGAGACAGTATTCACTATTTTGCATAATATTTGTCAATGAAAAAGCTGTGTTCTAAGTAGACGCTGCATTGACACACAGTTGATCAGAACAACAGCTCGATTAGAATTCAGAGAGTTTCAGCATAATAAATATGAATTTTTGGGTCAGAATGTGACAATGGATGAAACATGAATAAAATACTGTAACGTTTATTTTAATTTATTTAAAGTCTACACTAACACTAAAAACACAATTAATTTATAACATTTATTTACTTAACCGTAGTCTATAGTCGTTTCAGTCGTTCCGGAACTCACTGACTGAATATTCTCGGCGGCGTTAGAGAGCAGTGGATCGAATCATAGCAAAGCATGTATCAGAGCTCTCCCTGAAGGCAGTAGAATTTTCCCGACGGATAGCCGTAGAGTTTCTTCGAACGTATGCATATTCGACCAGGGGTGTAGCAAAAGCTTAGAATAACAACACTTTACTATGCACCCACCGCGATCACTCAAGTCTGATAAGTCAGGGAAGAATATTTGTATCAAATGAAGAGAATAAGAATAAAAAGAAAAGGCAGGCAACTTATTTTTTTTTAATGAATGAGGGTTTACATTTACTAGTAGACTCACCTATTGACAAACGTTTCCGTTGACCACCCGACAGATTGGAAGAGTTTATATCGATGCAAGTTTGAAGTCCTAAATTTTCAATAATTTCGTTGATCACAACTTTCTTTTCGGACAACGTGACAGTCTTTCCTAATTTGAGATTCGCTGAAACCATCATGGCCTCTTTGACGGTGAGATGTGGGGAGAGGCAGTCGTCCTGCATGATGTAACAGGACATCTTCCTGAAGCGCCGCAGATTGCGCTCTTTGCCGTTGATCATAACCTGCCCACTCAGATTTGACGTTCTGGAAAGGAAAAATATATCAAACTATGGAAAGAAAATTTGAATGGCATAGGACAGAGTTGTTCTAGTGATATTTATTGGCAATAAAATGTAGGTTTAAGTCCCCTTTCTTCTAATACTTTTCTAAATCAAGGTAATCTATTATTTATGTGTTTCTTGATAGATAGATAGGTTTATTGACAATTTTTACATAGTCAACACTACATGTCATGTCACAATAAAAATAAGTCACTTTTGTATACTAAGAACTAAGAAATAATACAAGAACACATAATAAAACATATACAGTGAAAATTAGATATATAAAATTATAAAAAAAAGAAACAATTCAGTAAGGCGTAATATAGTTTTCTTAAAAAAGGACCACACTAGGAGCTCAAACAAACAAATTTCTGTATACGTGTTCCAGCAGTAAGTGTTTTGCTAGTTTATAAAATTGTTTAGAATTCATTGCCTTAATATGAATATTTTTGTTTAGGTTTAAAAAAAAACAATTATACAGATTATAATCTATTGTATTAAGTTGTGTAACACACAATCTGGAATATGGTATAATGATATGACTTTTATTTCTTGTATTGTAATGATGTTGATCAGCATGTGTTTTTACATCTTGTATATTATTATGAACAGTTAACAAAGTTTCATATTTATATATTGAAGGTAAAGGAAGAATGCCATACTTTTTCACAAGTGTTTACAGCTGGCGCGATATTCTGCTGACCCAATAATTCGGATTGCTGCTTTTTGAAAAGTGAAAACTTTATATGCGTAGGACGAGTTTCCTCAAAGAAGGATGCAATATGTCAGAATATGTACTATGAACCATTCCAAAATAAACTGACCTAAGAATATCTCGACTCACAGAAGTAGCCAATTTGCGCATAGCAAAAATCTGTGAGAAATATTACAGATAATATAGACATGCTATAGTTGAGTATCAAAAATGTAGACATTAATTTCTGAGAAATTTTGTATTTCGCGTTCAATTTTTTAATATTTATTTTTATTTTACACTTAAAATGGGTCTTAGGAAGTCCCCTTATCGACAGTACACCTCTGCTTCAATTTCTAAAATACAAAACTGTTTATGGCCTGGTTATTATTGCATAATAATGTCGATACTTTTTTTAGACGGAAATATCGATTCAGTAGCATTTAATAGGCTATTTTTGTAATTTATTATTACAATCAACTACTCTAATATTCCAGGGCTTTTCATTTACCTACTACCCTAAAATAGAATCGAATGTCTTTCATCTAGTGGCACCATCAATTCTCTATGTACACGCAATAAAATGCTACGGGGGTTGAATTGTGACCTTTGGCATAATTTCGGTAAATCTAACTTTGGCAAAAAAAAATTAGATTAGATTTATTAGGAGATTATAAACAGCATTGGTAATATATTTATCTCCGTTTTTTACTTCATCATATAATTTTAAATATTTTGCTAACTATTATAAAAAGGTTTTTAAAAAAAAAAGATATGAGATTATAAGAGTTGTTTAATTTTTCATATGCAAAAAATAATATTACATTTTTCGATATATCATTCATATAAGCCATCCTCAATTTCAAATAATTATCCTAACCAACCCTTAGTAATAATTCGTACCTCTGACTAACCCCACCCTCGAGAAACACAAAGTTTTTGGACAATGAAAAATAAAATCGCCTCTTTTATCTATTGGTTCCCGTAGGTAAGAGACGCTTTGTTCGCCTAGTAAAAGACTATTAAGGTTGATCTGCATCCCCTAAAAGACAAACTACATATTCAAACAATATGAAAAATTTTGAGAAGTTATATGTGATAACTAGAAGTATTTTGACAAATTTTGAGCAAACTCCATGTTTTCGTTCTCGAAAAAACTCAAAAAACTACTTTTTTCCAAGTATAAAGCGGGAAAACCAAACATAAAATTTTGTTAATTTTCTTACAGCAGAAAGATATAATCCTAAGAAATACTTATGAATTTAAAAAAAAAAAATTTGAATATACAGTTTTGCCATAATAGGATGAAATAATACGTTCCGGCTTATAATAATGTTACCGGTAAGAAACCGGACAAAATAAGATAAAACTCTAAAAGTGAAAAATATTTGCAACAAACCGTTGAATATTTTTTCCTAAACATATGAAAAATCTCGTTAAACAAGAATTATCTCTTGAACTGCCGCCATCAAATTGTTTTGTAGAGAGGTGGCTACATTTGAAACATCAATAATATTTATCATCTAGAGATAGCATTATTTCGTTTTCGAAACGCTTCAAATGAACATCATACTAACAGGGTTGCCATACGTTAAATGCAGTCTTCTGGATATCTTCTTCGGCCATTTCAATTTGATGAAATCCGCTGGCTAGATCTAGGGTGGAAACGTATTGGCAGAGTCCTAGTTTGTCCAGAATGTCTGTTATATTTGAAATTGGGTATCGGTCATCGATGGTTTTCTCGTTCACCTTCCTGTAGTCGACAACTATTCGTCATTTAATTATTCCTGAGGCATCTGGTTTTTTGGAACGACCCATATTGGGGATGACCAGGACGATTGACTCGGTCTAACGATTCCTTGATTGAGCATCGAAGTGACGTGTTTACGTACTTCTTCCTTATGTGTGGATGTATGGATACCGATATGACTTGGTATAAACCGGAAGTTAATCTCTGGTTCGTATATGGTGCTTTGTTTGATTAGTAAATGTTAACGGATCGTCTGGATGATAAAATATCTCTGCAACACTATCTTAAACTTGCTGCACAGTCGTCTTAGGTGAGATTCCTCTTCTGTATTAAGGCTGTTTTAGCAGTTAAAGCATACTGCAATTTGAAATGGGCGTATCACTTACTTTTCTACACTGCTTACGCCAGACCATCTTTACTCAGTAGCGCCGGCCGACGGGTAGTTTAATGACAACAACAAATGCATTATTCTCCATTTAAATTAGTTTTAACACGAACCAACTGACCGTACGTTCATGAGATTTGACTCCACGAAGGCGATACGATGAAACTAAGCGCCAATGATAAGTAACACGTTTCACTATTAGATTTTAGTATTTTTTAGCAATTTTCTTCAAAGTTGGAACACGCTTTTCTCGATTATTACTGGAAACAGAAAGGTGAAAAAAAAAATCAACGTTTACTGAAAAAAAAACTCTTTCAAGTGATGGGCGTAAAAAGTTTGGTTATAATAGAACGTTAAACAGTATAATCCAATTTTTCAACAAAAGTTTAAAAAAAAAATAAAAAAAAAGTAAAACCATCATTTTAAAGGCAACATAATTTCGAATACGAGGAATAAGAAACAGAGGAAACACTGTCCCTAGGTTTTGGTCATCGAGCAAAAAGATAAAAGAGGGAATCTAATCGTTATGAAAAGGAGACCAAAAAAGTGGCCTCTGATGGCGGACATATCCGGAAATGCAAAGGCGCTAAATTTAAATTTTCCAACACTTATTAACAATAGCTATAAAATATTTTTCAGACGAGAAAGTTTTAATTAAATATTAACTATCATAGTCTAAAAAGTGACACAATTGGTAAAAGATTTCAATATAAATAAAATTTCATGTGACAGTTGGGACAAACAATAACATAACCTAACTAAATTTGACTTCTTAAACAAGGAAAGAGACTGTCTATCCTTGTCTAAAGTGGCCTCTCAAGATGGCACTTCCTGTCTATCAATATGTTTACCCTCACTACCTTTACATTCCCTCTTTTGTCTTATTGCTCGATGGTTTTGGTGCACCGATAAAACAGCCTAAAGATGATCGGTTCTAAGGAGAGAATCGACATCTCTTAGATTATTATCTTCGGTAGGTATCATATCTGATGTGTATATATAATATTCTTCGAGATACGGTTCGGTTGATTTTTGATGGGATCAGTTAATGCTACTTGGATATATTTATCGCATGTGAGAGTTTTTCTTAGGATGGCACCTTCCACTTCTTGTCTTGGGATGACGATTGTACCTCATGTTTCTTCTACTGGAAATCTGACTTGTGTACTTGTTTGGGGCTCTTGCTCGGCTGTATAGAATTGTGCTTCGTTTGTGACATAGTAATTAATGGAAAAAATATAATGCTCTGTAGTAAGAGTAGCTTGGGTAAAATCGAGATTTGCTTTCAGAAGTTTAAGACTATCGAGGATGATAGGACTATGTCGAAATTTGAAACGATAAAATTTTAAGTTAATATCCTAGTTAAATTCGGGAAAAACTAGAATTTCTATACAATAATCTTGTAAATGATTCTGAAGAATTGATATAACTATAAATGGTTCATATTTAATATTAGTTTTGTAGAATTTATTGGCTATATCAGGATTAAGGAAAGATTTGGTGGCGCCTGTGTCAATAAGAAGTTAAGGAGGGGATTTTCAATTTAATTTAAGGAAGCTCTCTTTTGTCAGCATAGGAATACAATTCTACTACGTTTCTTTGAAAATTTACATCTTCTTCCTCATATTCTTGACTTTCCTGTTCATAGTAAGGGTAATCTGGGTATGTGTCATTGTATATACCTTCATCGTAATTGCTTTCCTCTTTTTGTTCGATATTAAAGAGCTCTTCTACGGAGAATCGGGGGCTGGACGATTTAATTTATAGCATAAATAATATGAACAGAACCATTTTACGTAAAGATAAGAATGTACCGGGTGGTCCAATAAGCTGATCTCTCGGCTATATATCAGAAATAATTCATGTTATAACTTTAGGAGAAAAAATTCCTTGGTAAAAGTGGCCAAGAGAAATAGCTGGAAATAACTTTCAAGATTCTGGATTAACCGCTAGGGGGCGTAACCTGCGAAGAAAATTTTGAAAACCAGTTTTTTGAGAAATATGTCCAATTATACCAAGTGTTAAATAAGTAAACTAGAAAGAGGCATAAATTCTGCACAAAGTTGTTCAAGTACTTTTTTTTTATTTTTTCAAATAAAGGGTGGGGGAGAGTGGGAAAGTATTTGTGGATAAATACCTATAACTTTGGTTTGGATCAACCGATTTAAACAAAATTAGTGTCATTAGGAAGAGTATGGATAAATTAATTTACATCTACTATACTTACAAAATATATACGTGAGGCAATAGCGGCATTTTGGTGACATTCGAAATAAACTCCAATCATATACAATTTGATATACTCATCACGAATTATTTGTACTGATAATTAATTACTAATATTACCAATATTAATATCTATTGAAAAAAGTGCAATCTTTACTTCGAATTATAATATAGCACTTCTTAACAATGTTTTTGACTGCTGTCAATAAATAAACAATATGAACTCCCGTCAAATTCATTGTCGTAGCCTACTTAGTTTCGAAAAAACCATTTTTTACAAAATAGGTATGAACATTAAGATTCTTCTGCTATAAAAAAATTTGAAAATACCTACTGACTTATTTTTTAATGTAATTTATAATACATTGTGTGTCAATACTATACTTAATTATGTTTATGAGTTTTTATTCATATTATCTCGAGTTTAACAAAAGCTAATAACATGCGGTTTGCTCCATTTTGTTACAAATTTAATACAGTTTCATTATAATTTACAATAAATAGGTGTTTCCATTAAAAAATTTGAAGAAAAACAAATTTTAATTTTTTTTTATTTGAAAGTCCCCTCTACCTACGACTATGAAAACTAAATGCAAGTATTTTATAGTAGATGTGAATTAATTCATCCACACTCTTTTTAATGACACTAATTTCATAAAAATCGGTTAATCCAAACCAAAGTTATAGGTATTTATCCACAAATACTTTCCCACTCTCCCCCACCTTTTATTTGAAAAAATAAAAAAAGTATTTGAACAACTTTGTGCAGAATTTATGCCCCTTTCTAGTTTACTTATTTATCACTTGGTATAATTGGACATATTTCCCAAAAAACTGGTTTTCAAAATTTTCTTCGCAGGTTACGCCCCCTAGCGGTTAATCCAGAATCTTGAAAGTTATTTCCAGCGATTTCTCTTGGCGACTTTTACTAAGGAATTTTTTCTCCTAAAGTTATAACATGAATAGTTTCTGATATATGGCCGAGAGATCGGCTTATTGGACCACCCGGTACATAAAGAAATAAATAAAAATTTAAAAAGTACCTACTTGTAGCCTGCTAAAATATTCATAATGGTACTCTTCCCGGCACCTGATGGTCCCATAATGGCCGTCAACTCCCCCGACTTGCATTTTCCACTGATGCATTTCAATATCGTTTTATACCCTCTTTTCCTTCCTTCGGAAACCGAGTAGGAGAGATCTGTGAAGGTAATATCCACGGGCGGCCTTTTGGGTAGATGTGTAAGGGCAATCATTGGTCTTTTATGGTTGCTCGGACTGCTGTTGGGGACCTTACGGAGCGCACCCCCTCCGCTGAGGGTTATTGGTGAAGAACCATTGTATATATTGGTTTGAGAGCCACTGAAAAAGAAAGAATTTATTAGTAATATAATTTATAGTATAATAGTAACATAATAATAAGTCCGCAATGTCATCCTAACAGTGTAAGAGGGTGCAGAAGATGAGAAATCACTCTGAATCACAATAAAACACGAGTTATATTTTTTAGACACTCCAGTCAGTGGATATTCAGCTAAGAACGAATCAGCCTCAGATTGTAGAGAAATAAGTCATTGATGGATTCGACCGTTACTTACTAACACTGAAAACTTTGTTTTCAAACTTCCACAAAATTTATTTTAAATATTATCACTACAGCTGTTTCGGCTGATTGCCTTTCTCAAGTGATCTATTTTGGCTTGGGTTTACAAATTTATGGTCTCTAATGAAATAGGTTGAGGAGCGGAGAACTGTTTGTCTCAAGTTGGTCATTCAGAATTATATCTGTGTTTTTTAATTTGTTGATTTCCATAGATTCTAACAAAGATAGCTTAAGGCCTTTATTTTGAATGTGAAGAATTTTAAATTTGTCATTAAAAGAATGATTATGATCCAGAAGGTGAAGTGCGTATGTCGAATCTGTTTTTCTATTCTTGAAAGCCCTTTTATGTTCTGCTGTTCGTTTATCAAAGTTTCTACCAGTTTGACCAATGTAAGTTTTTGGGCAGTCGCCACATTGAAGTTTGTACACACCACTATTTAAGTGTTTTTTATTTTTTCTCTTGTTATTTTTAATATATTTGCCTAGGTTGTTATTTGTTCTAAAAGCTGGTGTTATTCCTTTCTTTTTTATGTGTTTGGCAATTTTTGTTGTTATTTTGCCTGTATATGTAATCGAGCAGAAGGTACTGAGTTTTTTCTCTGGTGGTGGAAATATTAATTTCAGGGCTTTCTTGTGTAGTTTTTGATTTAACATTTTATTAATTGTTTGTTCGTTGTATCCGTTGTTTACTGCTATCTGCTTAATTATATTTAATTCTGTCTCAAAGTTGTATCTTGACATCGGAATTTCTGTTAATCTATGTAACATACTATGATAAGCTGCCAGTTTATGTTGTGTTGGATGGGATGACGAATTGTGTATAGTCGTGTCAGTATGGGTAGGTTTATGAAATATGGAGAAGTCATGTTTGTTTTGAAGTCTGCTAATTTTTAAATCTAAAAAATTTATGGATTGATTTTGTTCTGTTTCTATTGTAAATTCAATATGACTATGAAGTGAATTAATATATGATAAAAATTGGTCAAGTTGCCTGTTAGTTCCTGTGAAACATACCAGTACGTCGTCTACGTATCTCCACCAATATAAAAACTGTTTGAATACGGGATGTTTTGGATCATCTAGAGACAAAGATTTCAAAACATCCCGTATTCAAACAGTTTTTATATTGGTGGAGATACGTAGACGACGTACTGGTATGTTTCACAGGAACTAACAGGCAACTGGACCAATTTTTATCATATATTAATTCACTTCATAGTCATATTGAATTTACAATAGAAACAGAACAAAATCAATCCATAAATTTTTTAGATTTAAAAATTAGCAGACTTCAAAACAAACATGACTTCTCCATATTTCATAAACCTACCCATACTGACACGACTATACACAATTCGTCATCCCATCCAACACAACATAAACTGGCAGCTTATCATAGTATGTTACATAGATTAACAGAAATTCCGATGTCAAAATACAACTTTGAGACAGAATTAAATATAAAGAGATTGCAGTAAACAACGGATACAACGAACAAACAATTAATAAAATGTTAAATCAAAAACTACACAAGAAAGCCCTGAAATTAATATTTCCACCACCAGAGAAAAACTCAGTACCTTCTGCTCGATTACATATACAGGCAAAATAACAACAAAAATTGCCAAACACATAAAAAAGAAAGGAATAACGCCAGCTTTCCGAACAAATAACCACCTAGGCAAATATATTAAAAATAACAAGAGCCAAAATAAAAAACACTTAAATAGTGGTGTGTACAAACTTCAATGTGGCGACTGCCCAAAAACTTACATCGGTCAAACTGGTAGAAACTTTGATAAACGAATAGCAGAACATAAAAGGGCTTTCAAGAATAGAAAAACAGATTCGACATACGCACTTCACCTTCTAGATCATAATCATTCTTTTAATGACAAATTTAAAATTCTTCACATTCAAAATAAAGGCCTTAAGCTATCTTTGTTAGAATCTATGGAAATCAACAAATTAAAAAACACAGATATAATTCTGAATGACCAACTTGAGACAAACAGTTCTCCTCTCCTCAACCTATTTCATTAGAGACTATAAATTTGTAAACCCAAGCCAAAATAGATCACTTGAGAAAGGCAATCAGCCGAAACCGCTGTAGTGATAATATTTAAAATAAATTTTGTGGAAGTTTGAAAACAAAGTTTTCAGTGTTTTATTGTTACAGAAATAAGTCATGTATTTCGTCTAAATATCTCGGTGTTTTATAAAACAATGAATTTATATTGTGTTCTGCCTACCTAGCACCTACCTTAAAAAATTATGACACGAACACTATTTCAGTCAAATGGAGAGGTCATCAAAAGTATATTTGTACAAACTTTTTATTTTTTCTTTAGACTTTTCACGTTGCTCTGATGTCTCACTTAATACTGTCAAGTGGTAGCGACGGCGATTTAAGTATAGAGATCTAGTTTATAGTTGTGAGAATTGTATGCTTTTTGCTGTCATTACATTAGATTGGTTAATATTAATAAATTGGGTGTTCGTTTAATTTGACACGACCTTGAAGACATTACCGGGGGCTTTGGCCGCTAACAGAAACACAATTATGTGTTTCTTTATGATATGCCTGCAATTCCATGTTACTAGAGACTGGAATATATACAAAATGCATTTTTTGCATATCTGGTATAAATTTCATATTTTGACAAAAAATGCATATACCATTTGATCGCTTTTCTCGAAATTTTTCTTTCGAATTCCCCGAGGAATAAAAGCTCTGTTTCTTTGAATCATTTGGGGGTATCTGATATTGCAATAATAGGTTTTATGTAAACTGGTAAACAATTAATGATCCTAATAAACAAACAAAATGAATCATACACAAGCACTTTTAGTGGGACGGGTTTTTCCTAAATCCAAAAGGGTCGGAAGTTTCGGTGAAGCTTTTAAGAATAAGTAGCTGTATGAATTGGCATCACCATTGGCGGGAAGAAGATTTGCAACTTGAGATATGCAGATGATACTACTATCCTCGCTAGTTCTGAAACTGAATTGATTCACCTGCTACAACGGATAGAAGACGTAAGCTTAACGATGGGCCTTAAAATAAACAGGGATAAAACGAGAATCATGATAATTGACAGAGCTAACAACAATCAAAATCATCTGGTTAGGATAAACAATATGGCTGTTGTAGATAAATTTGTGTATCTGGGCTCATTAATAACCAACAAAGGAGGCTGTACTGAAGAAATAAAGCGGCGGTCAGCAATCGCAAAAAAGCGCTATGGCAAAATTAACAAAAATTTGGAAAAGCCATGAAATTACTACCGATACAAAAATGAGACTAGTAAGAAATCTAGTTTTTCCAGTTTTTTACTTATGCATCGGAATGCTGGACCCTTACTGAGAAAGACAAAAAGAACATAGATGTATTTGAGATGTACTGCTGGAGACGAATGCTGAGAATACCATGGTGGGCCCGAAGAACAAATGAATCCATACTGGTCCAGCTAAACATAAAGAAAAGACTAAGAACACAAATAACAGAACAGATAATAAGCTATTTTGGACATGTGCTTCGAAGAAATGGTCTTAAAAAACTTACCATCCAGGGAAAAGTAGAAGGCAAAAGAAGTAGAGGGAGATCTCCTACACGATACACGGACCATATTGTTGCTACCATTGGCGCTCCATTGTCAGAATGTGCTAGATTGGCAGAAGATAGAAAAACGTGGAGGAACATTGGAAAAATTACCTAACAGCTTCATGATATCACGATACCTGCATCAGGTTAACGACTAAGAAGAAGCTGTATGAATCTCCAAAATTTACATTAGTTTCATTTATGGTTTCATTTATGGATTTAACTAGAAAAAATAAGCCTTGAAAATGGACGGAAGTAGAACAGAACTCTTTCGAAACGCTTAAGAAGTTACTGATTACCGCTCCAATTTTGCAGCAAGCAGATGAAAACCAGCCGTATATCATTTGTACTGACGCTAGTGGTTATGCGTTAGGAGCAGTGTTGCTATAAAGAGATATCGATGACGAGCATCCCATGGAATATGCTATAGTGTATTTTTATGTATGAGAGAGTAATAAAACAATAAATTATGTATGCAAATCCCTAAACTGTTGATATGGGTGACTCAATGAAAAACAGATATTTGTCAACAAGTTTACAGAAGTATATAGGAAAACAATTTTAAATTGAGTATGACCATCAGGTATAAAGGTTGGAGCAGAATAAAATACAATAGTTGTGAGGGAGGTTAACAGGTACTAATGAATTTGCAAGAAATGTAAGATGTTTATTTTATTGGTTATATATAACCAATAAAAGTTTAATAAGTACCTACCTATTTGCAAAATAAAGTTTAATTCTTTAGATAAAATAAAACGTTTTATTTTATCTGAAATGAGTGCATTCCACGAAGTAAGGGTTTCAACAATCAAACATTTAATTCTTTAATTCCAGGAATCTACGACAGTAATTGACTAGATAATTATCTTCTAAACTTATTCCACAGAAAATGTGATAGTGGGTTTTTCCATTTTGTAGGAAGGTCCAAGTGGTGTATTCAAAATTCTTAACAGTTCACTAAAAGTAGGTACTTCAGTTGCAAGGTGCAGTTTATTGTGTATACTAGTATTATGGAAAATTTGGAAGTGCCGTGTAAACGCCGAAAAATTGGTCCTTTAACAGTTAATGAAAAAACATTAATATTTAATTGTTTTAAATCATTTACAGACAAACGTTTATGTGAAAGTGTTGATGAGACCGTTGAGTTAGTTAGCA